TTTGGAAGAATTACTGACAATTTTTTTAGAAAAATTGATGCAAATAGTCCTAAAAGACATGACAACGCTAATTGAACAATCCCCTAGACATTCGAGTGATGCTTAGTGTACAACTCTAACCCCTTACAATCCCCTCATAATGAGTGGGCCCACAATTATTTTATTCAGGTGAGCTCCCTCAACATGTGAGAAGACTGTATACCATAGTGTAAATCATGGTGTAAGAGCATCTTTTTCCTGAACATCCAGGGAATTGTTCAAATCCCATTTCCCCATAAGACATTCGACCTTGTATTTTTCGTTCAAATTCTTTAGGGTAATTCATCTTTACCGGGGGTATTGCCAGGGGGCCAACTGATAGGTGGGGTGAGATTAAATGTGACCACAGTATTGTAGTATGATTCAATCCTTTATATTTTGGAACCAGCTCACAACTGGTCCATTTAAATGGATTTCGTCCAAATTGATCTTAGTTTTGCACTCGGACCTGAAATTCCTTTTATTTCTTTTTGAAAGTCTACATGAAAAATTTAAATTATTGTTGACTGAATCCATTCAAAATGATCAATTACGCACCTAATGACCTGGTTTGGAATGTAATACCAAAGTTGAAAAGTTTGGGACAAAAATGCAAGAAGTCGAAAGATTTTGAACACTTTACACCAATTTCATATTTATTTATAGATTCCTCTTGATTTTAGAATTTTGGGGATACTTCAAAGCTGCGTGGATTAGTTATTTCATTTTGTATTTAATTTCCTTTGACACGTGTCAACAATGTGAAAATATAATTTATTTTTTTATTTTAATTGCTTAATTTTTTTGGACGGGAAAGTGCACCTTCATTGTAGAATGGATAAACTATCTTTTTCACAAAATTTTAGAAGTTAAAAAGTAGAAAAGTTAATAGAATAGTGGGAATAAAATGTTCAATTATTCTTGAAATTTTGTACATTATTATCTAATTAATTTCTTTAGATCTCTAGAGAGATCTTGTAATTGGACTGTACTACACGTACAGAGAAAGAGTTCACATAAGCCCTCCAAATCACACACAATAGGAGATTGACGGTTTTTCTTTTTTACTCACATGTAAATATACCCTCCTCTGTACATATGGAAAAATCCTTGTTGAAGCAAAATGACATCAAAGAATTAAGATATGTCGTTAGTTCACTATTATCGACACAATTAAAAAAAAAAAAGAAAAAAAAATACTTCATTATATTTTTCTCTACAGTAACTGTCCCGATTTGACATTCTCCATCTTTTTCATTAAATATTTGAATATTTATATACGTCAATGGTCAATAACTGTATGTCATTTTGTCGATGAAAAGTCCGCATTTAATATGAAAGCAAAAATTGAAATTCAATGCTCATTTTAGTCAACCATAAGCTCAAGTTCTAAATTAGTAAATTGACGATTACAACAACAATAATAATAGATTAAGCCAAGTAACAAAAATATTACAATCAAAATCTTTCCCTAGACTAATCATTTGGAAGATGATAATGCTTAATTTTTTTACCTTAACCCTTGTTTGGTAAGAATTAAAATCAAATTTTTTAGCAGATTCTGATAAAAGTTTGATGAAATATAATTGAAAAGTTATGAATCCCATAAAATATATGACAAAAAATAATTATTGATTTTGATTTAAATTAAAATTCGAATTTTAATCCCTGTCAAAAGAAATACATATTGGTAAAATGTATAGTTGAAAAGTTATGAATCTCGTAAAATATATTATTAAATATATATATTGGTATTTAACATATTGTGTGTCATGTCACCGGTGATTAATATAAACTAAGTGAAATGGCGATCGTTAGATAATTTCTCTCTCTATATATACCACACACACACACACATTGTCGGGCCCACTGTGAGCTGCCCAATGTAAAATGAAAGAGAGCTGCTTAGTGTACAGCACACAACACTTTTACAGTCCCCTCACAATGAAGAGGCCCACAAATTTAATATTAATGTAAACTCTCTCAACATGTGAGGAGGCTGTATAGCATGGTATACAAATAACTTTTTCCAAAATGAAAATACTGAAATTTGGGCCAATCCTCATGTAGATAGTAGTTCCTGGCAATCGTTCTCAAAGTTACTGGGTCATATAATACACACTTGGGCACTTAAATTTTGTGCAAAATTTTATATTAGCCTTCAATTTTTTTATTTTTTATTATTATTATTTTTTTAAAAAGTTGTTTTGAGCCCCTTTTGAGGAAAGAATGAATTTTTAAATAGTGTATTGTTAAAAAATAAAGAAAATTTTTGAATTTACGTATAATATTATTTTATTGAAGAATGTGTGGTTGAAATGATGTCAAAATATTGTTGAAAAATACATTTTTTTTTTTCAAAAGAACGAGGCTTAGACACTTAGTCATATTGTTGCATAATTAAATCATAAAAATATATTTTAAGTTATCTGATTACTTAAGTTTTTAACGTTATGCTTAAAGGATTTTTTTCTAGTTATTTAATAACTAAAGTTAATTATAATTACATCATTAGTCATAAGTGAAACACATTCATTAGGTGCTTTCTTTTTTCAGCGAGTTTCAGTGAAAAAAAGAAAAAAAAAAAGAAAAAAAGAAAAAAAAAAGGAAATGAAAGTCAAAGAAAGTTCAACCAATAATTAACCCATGAAAATATATATTAGTGTTTATATCTTGATGGTTCAAGTTACATTGATCGAAAATGATTGACATGCAACATAGCTGAACGCCCACAATAGGAGGGGCCACCTTTTTTTTTTGGGGAGTTTTTAATGCGGGTGGGTCCTACATGTCTTGTGAGTATAAGTCAATATTTCTGTCATGTATTTTCTGTCAACTTAGATTAATTCAATTGAATGATGTTTGGTGACATTTACAAGAATTTACCCCAATTTCTTATGTTTCGCTTAAAGTGATTTTCGCTTTGAATATGACACTTGCTTCATGTGTTAACAAGTGCCTTTAGCAATTTGTACAAGTTTAAGAAAGTTTTTAGTTTTAAATAGTATATTTTATCATTTAAAGAGCATTTATAAATTTAGAGAGTTAAAATTTTAAAATACTTCAACAAACTCTTTATATATGATATTTAATTTTACCACTCCCAATATATATTTATTATTTTTCTTTATTTTTTATTTTAACTAGTTTTTCTCTAGATTATTGTATTATTTTCCTATTTTGGAAAGTCAAACTCACTCTCTCAATTAAAATGTTAATTTAAAATCTCTTACAGCATGATTTTAATGATTATCTTTAAAATAGAGAGCATCTTATATTTTAAAAAGTTTCATGTAGATGCTCTTATACACATTAATATTTAAATACTGCACGTTTGACATTATTTTCACTAAAAGATTGATCAATGATATAGTATTAATTAACTTAGTGATTAAATTAATCATAAAAATACTTTAAGGATCAACTTGAAAGTTTACATGAAGTTTCGTGACAATTTGTAAAATCAACTCCATATAAATCGTTCTTGCATCAAATATCAACTTTAGCTTGACAGAATATACAACACAAAGCTCGCAAGAGACGAGGATACACCTTAACAGAAGTGTGCATTCGAAATAATATTTGACATAGTCGAGATGATGCACGGCAACACAGCACTGTTTAAGCCCCATTATTTCCTTAGTAAAGTGAAAAATATGATCTTTATTCATCAAATCAAACCATTATATTTGACTTTTTATCTCTTGTGTATATCTTATAACAGCTATATTTTTCATTTTCATTTTTACAACAGTGTTGCTCAAATGGGGGCTTGTACAATAATAAAAAGATAAGCCCCTCCTCGAGCTCCATTTTAATAAGGTTTTAAGAAAAATGTATTTTAAAGTAGTATTTTTTTTTATTAAAAAAATCTGTAATTAAAAAATAAGAAAAGATTTTAAATTTATGTGTAATATTATCTTATTAAGGAATGTATGCTTGGAAAGAAGAAAAAGAAATATAGTAAAATTAAAATGGAGTCCAAACAAGAACTTTCTTTTTCTTCTTTTTACCCGGCTAATATTGTCACCAAATATGTCATACTGCAACTTACAGAAATACATAAAAACGAGAAAGAATATTTTTTTAAAAAAAAAAAAAAAAAGTTCTTTTTAAAAAAGACAGAATTAAAACCTACATAGGACTAACTTTGCAGAATTTTTCTGCTCTATACTTTCTTTTGTTGCCTTCCGAGGACTGCATTTTTGTGATAAGGATAGCTCCTCTCATTCTCTTTCCTGCATTTATTTTATCTCACAGCAATGCGAGTCTCGATTTGAAAAGAACAAATCTATTCTGCATTGGGACTCTAAACATTTAGGCATCAATCCAAAAAAAAAAAAAAAAAAATTAAACCCCAATTTTAAGG